GGATTAAATCAGCCACTTGTGTATCAGTCTGGTTCCTGGAGCTGTTTGGTTTAAATCACCCAGTTTTGTATCATGTTGGTTCCTAGGAGCTGTTTGATTTATCAGCCACTTGTGTATCAGGCTGGTTCCTAGAGCTGCTTGGATTAAATCAGCCACTTGTGTATCAGTCTGGTTCCTGGAGCTGTTTGGTTTATCAGCCACTTGTGAACCAGACTGGTTCCTGGAAGTTATTTGATTTAAATCAGTCACTCATGAATGAGGCTAGTTACTAAGAGTTGTTTGGTTTAAATCACCCAGTTTTGTATCAGGCTGGTTTCGAGAAGCTGTTTGATTTATCAGCCACTTGTGTATCAGGCTGGTTCCTGGGAGCTGTTGGGTTTTAATCAGCCAGTTTTGTATCAGGTTGGTTCCTAGAAGCTGTTTGATTTATCAGCCATTTGTGTATGAGACTAGTTCCTGGGAACTGTTTGGTTTAAATCAGCCAGTTTTGTATCAGGTTGGTTCCTAGGAGCTGTTTGATTTATCAGCCAATTGTGAACCAGGCTGGTTCTTAGGAGTTGTTTGGTTTAAAACAGCTATTTGTGAATCAGGCTGGTTTCTGGAGCTATTTGGTTTAAATCAACCCCTTGTGTGTTAGGTTGGTTTCTTTGAGCTGTTTGATTTATCAGCCACTTGAGTATCAGGCTGGTACCTGGGAGCTGTTTGGTTTAAATCAGCCACTTGTTTATCAGGCTAGTTCTTGGAAGCTGGATAACTGATATCAGCCATTTGTGTATGACACTGTTTCCTGGGAGCTGGTTGATTTAAATTAGCCACTTGTGTATCAGGTTGGTTCCTGGGAGCTGTTTGATTTAAATCAGTCACTTATGTATCAGGTTGGTTCCTGGGAGCTGTTTGATTAAAATCAGCCACTTATGTATCAGACTGGTTCCTGGGAGCTGTTTGATTAAAATCAGCCACTTATGTATCAGACTGGCTCCTGTGAGCTGTTTGGTTTAAATCAGGCACTTGTGTATCAGGCTGGTTCCTGTGAGCTGTTTGGTTTAAATCAGCCACTTGTGTATCAGAATAGTTCCTGGTAACTGTTTAATTTAAATCAGCCATTTGTATATGAAACTGGTTCCTGGGAGCTTTTTGGTGTAAATCAGCCATTTGGGTAACAGTTGTTTCCTGGAAATGTTTGAGTTAAATCAGTCACTTGTGAATCAGGCTAGTTCCTAGGAGCTGTTTCGTTTAAATCAGCCACTTGTGTATGAGACTGGTTCCCGGAGCTGTTTGGTTTAAATCACCCACTTCTGTATCAGGTTGATTCCTAGAAGCTGTCTGATTTATCAGCCAGTGTGAGCCAGACTGGTCTCTGGGAGCTATTTGGTTTACATCCGCCACTTGGGAATCGGGCTGTTTTCTGGGGCTATTTGGTTTAAATCAACCACTTGTGCATTAGATTGGTTCCTGGGAGCTATTTGGTTTAAATCAACCACTTGTCGTTAGACTGGTTCCTGGGAGCCGTTTGATTTAAATCAGCCACTTGTGTATCAGGCTGGTTTCTTTAAGCTTTTTGATTTGTCAGTCACTTGAGTATCAGGCTGGTGCCTGGGAGCTGTTTTGTTTAAATCAGCCACTTGTTTATCACGCTAGTTCTTGGGAGATGGATAACTGAAATCAGCCAATTGTGAATCAGGCTGGTTCCTGGGAGTTGGCTTAAATCCAGAGCTGTGCGTAGCACCGATATGTTTGTAGGAGCGACTGGTGGATCGAAGCTACCTTTGAAAATTCATAGCGATTGCAAGTAGCGTCACTCCGTCTTTGCAAAGCGCTATTCTTTACATATTAATAGAAAATATAAATCATAATATTTTGTACACTGTATATAATTATATTTTATATAGTTTTACGATTATATATATAATGTTACATATATTGTTTCGGACCTAATTATGCTTGCCTATGCTACCTGACATATTCGATTTGTAGCGATGTCTTTCCGACTATCCGTGACGTAATGTGTATAAAGCGTTGTTTGTATTTATTATAATATTATTATTATATCTAATGTTTACTGTTTATATGTTCAGTTGAATATAATATTAACTTAGAAGGTTTATTAATTTATTTTTATGTAAGATTTTAGTTTAGAAGTACTGTTAAATGTTTTATTAAATTCCTGACCTGGATAATTGTAGCAGAAACTTTTCTTGGTTAACACGTTTCAGCTGATAATACACTATATTCACACGAACCAGGTAGTTTATATTACATGTCGGATAATTAGTTAAGAAATTTCCAGACATATATATTATCATAAATCGTGATAACAGTTTCGAAAAGCTGCCGCTGCTGAAATGAAATAACAAATTAAAAAGTAATAACACTGAACAAATAATAAGGGACGTAATAGCTTCTAATATTAGAAACTTATTATTTGATATTAGCTCATTTATTATTATTATTATCACTATCATCATATTCATTTACTTTTTAACATTGTGTTCTTTAAGTACGATCATTTAATGCAGTGTTTCTCAACCTTTTTTCGCTCGTGGCTCCCTTTTCGAGTTTGATTTATCACTGTGGCCCCACCCTTCGTAGACGCTGTTACTTAGGAAAAAGTTACTTTATTTCCACACTGTTGATTTATAATATATTTGTAATATTATTTTTACAATATTGTATTGTTTTTAAATATTTTGTTTATAACATACTGTAAAGTCCGTATTACGTTTTTGTAGCAATATAGTGTGCCACTTGTGTATCAGGCTGATTCCTGTGAGGTGTTTAGTTTATGTTGTATATGAAACTGGTTCCTGGGAGCTGGTTGATTTAAATCAGCCACATGTGTATCAGGATGTTTCCTGGGAGATGTTTGATTTAAATCAGTCACTTATGTATCAGGCTGGTTCCTGGGAGCTGTTTGATTAAAATCAGCCACTTATGTATCAGGCTGGTTCCTGTGAGCTGGTTGATTTAAATCAGCCACTTGTGTATCAGGCTGGTTCCTGAGAGCTGTTTGATTTAAATCAGTCACTTATGTATCAGGCTGGTTCCTGTGAGCTGTTTGATTTAAATCAGTCACTTGTGTATCAGGCTGGTTCCTGTCAGCTGTTTGGTTTAAATCAGTCACTTGTGTATCAGGCTGGTTACTGGATGCAAGTTAAATTAAGTCAACCTTATTGCGTCTAGTTAATTCCTGAGTTGCTGTATAATTTAGAGTTTTTATTTTGAGTTAAGTTGATACCTTTTCACATAGCAAGAATATTTTAGTCGTTTTAAAAGCTCTTCTTCTGATGAAAAGAGGAGTTCTATTTCAGAACCTATTTTTTTCTATTACAAATTAAGTTCTTTAGTATTTTTAAAAGCTTGTTCCATAAATCCAAGTATTTACGAGTAGTGGCCTCTCCGTCATTAGGGTGTTGTTTTAAAGTAAAACTCTAGGTAACTACAAGTCAAAAATTAAGAAAGAATTGTGGTGATGATTTTCATTTTTCTTATAAAAATGGGAATTTATTTGTTTGATTTATGTACACTTGTCTACTTGTCGTTTTAGTGGTACCAACGTGCGATTTGTACAAAGTTAATGTGTTGCCATGGGGATATGTCACTGTATATTGCAACATTATTATACAACAGAACTCGTGGTGTGCGCTATATGAACTTAATAAGGCTTAGGGGCGGCTTTTATGGGTAACAAATAAAACTTTATTACGAGTTTAACACAGCAACAAATGTACAACATTTCCACGAAACTTCATCATCATTATATACTCAGTTCAAGCCATTTCTTAAAAATTATTAGTCTCAAAGAAGGTTCATTGTCATCAAATTTGCATTTATCATAGCCATATGAATTTGTAGTTTGTTTAGTATTTAGAGTTTAGTTGAGATTAGAATATTATGAACAGATACAGGTAATGATGGCCGATCTGTAGTATGACGATCAAGAAGTAACTCATCAGAGGCATCACTAGGTGCTTAAAAGATGGGGGGTCTCGGGCTTATTGCCTCCCCCACCCCGAGATCATGGTTTTCTTTTCTGGTTTTTTCAAGAAAACCAACTGGGGTTTGGGGCACTGTCAAATAGAATCGAGGCACGGGCTCCGTGTGCAAGTGCCTAGCGAAGCCTCTGTAACACATAAACCTATAAAACTCTTACTGTGAAAAGTTGAAATAAGTAAACATTAGTCAGTTTACCAAAACTTGATGCGAAACACGGAGGACTGGGTGAAGTTAGTGGTATTATAAATTCACAAAAATTGAGCATGGAGGGCTAAGCTCCCCTTCCTGACTTCTATAAATATTCTTAATGATACAGTTTATTGCCAGTTTCTTGTTATCACGCACTTGTTAATATTAGAACGTTCTCGCTGTCTCTATAATTAGTCAATAAGCCACAAGCTGTGTTGTGGAGCTGAGTACCAGGTATTTTCACGGATTTCATTTGCTTTATGAATAACTCTTGGTAGTAAAGAATACTTATCACTAGTAAATATTTTAGTATCATGATGATCACCAAACAAATAGTATGTTAACAAACACGTGAATAGATAATAAATAAACAGAAAGACAGTTGCAGATAAACAAATAAATACACGGAAAACAGTTACTTATAAATACATATATAAATAGAAAAACAATTGGTGGTAGACATAGAGATAAAAAAGAACAGCTTCAGATATTCACATATATAAACAGAAAAACTGGTACAGAAACATATAGATAAACAGAAGGACAATTGGTGATAAACATACATCTAAACAAAAGGAAAGTTGGATGAAGCTATTGACATAAATAAACAGAAAGATGGCACTGATAGACAGAGATAAGTAGAGGGATAGAAACATAACTGAACAGAAAGACAGATTCAGATAGTCACAAAGAACAGATAAACAGTCAGTTAGACAGGCTCAGATATTCATATAGATGAACAGAAGAACAGTTTCAGATAGTCACATTGGTAAACAAATTGACAGATTCAGATATTCATACAGATAAACAGAATGACAAGTGATGATAGACACATAAATAAACGGACACACATGGCTGATAGACGCATAGATAAACGGAAAAACAAGGCTGACAGACGTATACATAAGAGAAAGACAGGTAGATACACACACACACACACATATATATATATGTACTGATAGATATATATATAAACTGAATGGCAGATTCATATAGATGCAGAGATAAACAGAAAGAGGGAGACAATAGAGACATAATTAGATAGAAGAGATGGAAATACGTTATCGACCTTATATTCCAACACTTTCTTCAAGACATGGCAATTCTTGATAAAGTAATTATATAGGTACTGGAAAAAAATCATATTTCGTTACTTAATTTGCTTTTGATCACTGGACTTGTTAGAGATAAAATAGAATATAGAGAAACACATATAATTTGAACACATTTTTTTTGTGGTCATTATTATATAAACCTAACCAAGTTCACGAAATGATTGTGTAATCATGAAGTTAATACGTGTATGATTACAGGCTGTTCAGTGTTAATTTTTGTTCTGGTTCCTTATATAGGTTACTTCCAGTCAAGGAGAATTTCCTCTGTCGGTCTGCTTTCAAAGTAAGGTTTATTTTACTTTAGTGTTCTAAGGTTTTAAGGTTAATTAACTCTTGCTTTCAAAAATGATATGGTTACTGAAGTGATTAACATATTTTATGTGTTTGAAAATATTGAATATCCGAAAGAGTCCCGTTTACCAGAATGCAAATTTTACCAGTATGTGAATACATATACAGAAATGATTACTTTTAGTTTGTTCTGTTATATCATATATATGTTTATATATATACTTGTTGTAAGGCATTTGAAATAAATAAGTATTCACGAAGGATCACTTTCATTGCTTTGGTATATCTATACTTTAATTTGAAATACTAACATTTGTAATTTTAACTGCTTTTAAATTAAAATTATAACTTTTTTATGTGTATTTTTTTACTAAATCATAATGCGTCTTATAAGTCGAAATTCAGAGTGCAGTGTTTTGGTTTTTTAAATTTACCGTTTTTAATTTGAAACAGAGAGAGATACGTTTATCTGAAATATAAAAAAGAAAAATGAGAGATCGAGAAACGAAAGCAAAATCTAGCAAATTACATTCATCACCTTTTGTGAATTAACGCTTGCTTGAAGTGATCATTTTCAGTTTACCTGATTAATTAATCACTCAAGGCAAAAAATTTAATAGGTTAGTACCCCCGCTACTAATGGCAACAAATGTTATGTAATTCCACGATAGATGGCGAGCAACACAATTACAAAATAATAATTGTGAGTGAGATTGTTTTTATACAAAAGCAAGCATTTAATGCTATACTTTATATTGCTGCTTGTATAACGAGCCTTCTCCTGGCACCGTGTGGTTCTCATATTTATTATCCTGACCGCTAAATTACAGTCTACATGAACGACACTTCCAAGAAACTGTTGTTATTACATCAGCTGTATACAGTGGATTCATAATACCACACCTACGTTTACCAGCCCCCCAGTGGCACAGCTGCATGTCTGCGGACTCTAGAAACCTGGTTTCGATACCCGTGGTGGGCAGAGCACAGATAACCCATTGTGTAGCTTTGTGCTTAACTTCAAGTAAAGAAACAAATACGTTTACCAGCTTGGTATGATGAATCTTAAAGTTTTTGAATAAATAATAATGAGGAATTTGTTGAAAATTATGTCTGGTTGCTCACATCTTCAGCACTATCAAAGTCCGTATGTTAACAGGAAATGAAACGTTGACCTAGCAGGTCATCAAACTCATTTTGTCGTGATAGTAGGCTGATACTAGCCCATCTACTCCTATCCACATTTACTGTGGGTAATATGTAAAAAATATATTATTACTGGGAATACCAAACTATGCCAAGTTTTTAATGCGATGTAAAAGATAACCATAAATCCGATATTAAATCCATCATTCAGGACTGCAGGTCTATAGAGAGTTCCAGACTGGGCAACCTAATCATTAGGCCACACCCGGCTCTGTCACTAAGGTATTATAACCTGCCCAATTCATGCTTTCTTTCGGTACACTTTTTGTACCTGAAATCCATGAACGATGGGTGATATTTAACAAACACAAAGTAACAATAAGTGTTGTATGGTAACAATCACTGAACTCCAGTCATCAACAATATGCCAACGTTTGGGCCACTATTATCGAATAGTGGGATTCATTATAAGGCACTCCCGGCCCCAAAGTGCCGAGTGCGATTTTGTGGCAGGGGGACACGAATTATGCACTCTCAGATTCACAGTCTGGCACGCTGACCACTGGGCTTCGCAATACCTACCCCAACTTGAATGTAATTGAGCCATTCTGTGACGTTTTAGAAACTTACTTAACGACAGAGTCCACAAGCTCACTACAGTTGTTTGTAAGAGAAGTTACTAATGAGTTATGTACCGATACTTGGTGTCGAGAGGTAGAAACAAACTGAAACGAGGTTCCAACGAAGAAACACCATATACACCCATCCTTCTCAAGACGTACTGTCCCTATATCTTTAATATATATACATATTGTCTTAGTTGAAAGAAGCTTTTGTGACTTTCGTTAGATATGTTTAATACTGCTTCTTTCGTACATTCTTCTTCTATATAACTGGCAATGTGTAAGTTTTCACTTGTACATTATGCACTTTATTTATTGCTATATCTTTGCGTCAGTGATTGTAGCGTTACGTGAGTTATCAATTTATTGACATCTCTATTTATCTTTGAATTCTCCGTGGGATTGTGTGGTAATTTTGTTTCTTTGCATCAGGGTTGCAGTAAACTAACCAGGGAAGACATTGAAAGAGTGTTTGCTCTATATGATAGGGTAAGTTGATGTAGTAATACATTTTTCTTATTACACATTACTTCTTCTAAATTACTATTAAAATATTTCAGAAACTCAGTTTCCAAGAGGATCATGTATTATTTATTTGTTAATTATACACACTTCTCAGGGGATCATATATTATTTGATAATCCCCTGAGAAGTACGTGTAATTAACAACTAATATATGATCCCCTGAGAAGTACGTGTAATTAACAACTAATATATGATCCCCTGAGAAGTACGTGTAATTAACAAATAATATATGATCCCCTGAGAAGTACGTGTAATTAACAACTAATATATGATCCCCTGAGAAGTACGTGTAATTAATACCCTAGTATCCACAGTCACGCGTAGTGTTCGAATACATTGTGACAGCGAATGTACACCAGTCAGATATACTTAGTAAATTCATACATTCTCACGAGATTTCTCATGCATCTATCACACGTAGGTGTGCCCGTCAAAATGATTATTAGTAATGGAAACTGCCCCTCTGATACGATCTTCTTGGCCACTCCATATCATGATGACTGTTACGGAACTTTGTGATATCATGATGTATTATGTGAACCATAACTGTTATTTTTCGTGTTTTTTCTTTGTTTGTACTAAATATTGATAATAAAACGCTTCTAGTTACAAAGACTAGAATGTTTTACATCAACACATTCCAATTCACTAACTTCGACCTTCAAAAAAACCGAGAAATGCGTGTAATTAACAACTAATATATAGGAACGATTTTGTGTAGATATCTCTCTTGTAGCTTTGCGCGAAATTCTGGAACAAACAAATAAATTTAGTACTGAGAGAGAAGACAGCTAGTCAACAGCGTCCATCGTCAACTCTTGAGCAATTCTTTTCTAACCGAATAGTGGAATTTGACCGTCACGCTTATAACGCGTCTATGACCCCAAAGCGCGGAGCGCGTTTTTGCGGCAAAAGATCACGAAATATTGGCTCCACAGTCTGGGCAAATTAATCTCTATGCCACATCCAACCCTATCACTAGGATATTGGAACCTGCCCATTTTATACTTTCCTTTGATGCACTCTATACATTAAATCTATGAGCGATGAAACAAAATAACAGTAAGTGTCCTACGGTAACAATCACTGAAAGAAAGTATTTGTAATTTGTGTGGTTTCATTTCCAGAATACTCCTGATGCTGCGTTATTTCTGTATAAACTTGCCAGGTACTCATTATTAAGAAAAATTATAATAAACTGTAATTTCTACCATAAATAATATTCCATTTTTGACGTATAGTACGGAATATAAATTTGACAGTTAAGCATAACAGCAAAATGTAAATAATAATGTTAGAGTTAAATGATAACAATTATAAGGCTTAATCCTTTTCCTCTGCGTTTATAACAGGATAAAAATGGCACCATTGAAAACGAAGAATTGAAAGGGTTTTTGAAGGATCTGTTGGAGCTTGTGAAAAAGGTAAATATTGATAAACTTAATATTCAACCTTTTTACATTTACCACATAACTTGCTATGCCCCTATAACTCGGTTAAGCATGAAGGACGATAAATTGTGTGACATAGGTGTCGCTGTATGTAAAACTCCTAGCTTAGAATGGCCAGTATCTACACTTTCTACTGATCAATGTATTGGATACAAAAAAACAAAACAGTCTGTCACACTGAAAATGTTCCCTTAAGATGTATATTACGATCTAAATTTTCTAAGCTGTGAGAATCTACAGGTTCCCACGACTTAACTGACTGGAACTTAATAATCAACTGTGTAGTAGGAAGAACTAGACGGTAAGTTTGTTCGTTTCTTTGTTTAATTTCGCGCAAAGCTACTCGAAGTCTATCTGCCGTCCCTTATTTGAAGTGACAGACTAGATAGAAGGCAGCTAGTAAAAGATACCCACCACCAACTCTTGAACTACTCTTTACCAACTAAAATTGTAATTGACTGCCACATTATAATGCCTCCACGGCTGAAATGGCTAGCATGTTCGGTGACGGGCTTTGAATCCGCATGGTCGAGTGCCCTAACCACTACCATGTAAAACAAGTTATTTCATTGGAAATTCTAATGTTACTGAAGAAAACTTTCTATGCGTACAAAAAACTGCCATAAAAAAAAAAACACATTCAAAAAATTGCGTTTAGCACACAGAACAGCCCAAGGCAAAAATCACAAATACTTACAAATATCCTTAAACTTATAAAACGATCAACAAACCAGTCTTAAGTTTAGAGAACAACAGAAAAGCAGCCTTAAATCTTATAAAGCAATAAGACAAGCAGCCTTAAGGCTTATAAAGCGGTCAGAAAAGCAGCCTTAAGCTTAGAGAAGAACAGAAAAAAAACGACCTTAAAGCTTATAAAACGATCATAAAAGCAGCTTTAAGCTTAGATAACAACAGAAAAACAACCTTATAGCTTATAAAACGATCATAAAAGCAGCCTTAAGCTAAGAGAACAACAGAAAAACAACCTTAAGCTTAGATAACAACAGAAAAACAACCTTAAAACTTATAAAACGATCATAAAAGCAGCCTTAAGCTAAGAGAACAACAGGAAAAACAACCTTATAGCTTATAAAACGATCAGAAAAGCAGCTTTAAGCTTAGAGAACAACAGAAAAACAACCTTATAGCTTATAAAACGATCAAAAAAGCAGCTTTAAGCTTAGAGAACAACAGAAAAACAACCTTAAGGCTTATAAAACGATCAGAATAGCAGCCTTAAGCTCAGAGGACAATCAGAAATATAGCCTCAAAGTATATAAAATTATCAGAAAAACAGTCTTAAATAAAAAGAGCAAACCCCAAAACCAACCTTAACCATAAAAAACGTACTCTTGCTGATGTAACAATGTGTAGTTAACGTTCTGTATAAGATGAACAAATAGATTTGCTTTCGCCACCGGTATTACTTCAGGAGATTTTCAATATTTTCGTATTAGAGAGAAAAACAGAAGATCCCGTAAGAAAAAAGAAGCACGCCTCATACATGAAATATAGTAAATTGGGCAAAGGAAAATATTTCTTCTTTAAACTCCCTAATATAAGTCTTCTCTTAATGATACAAAAATTAATATTTCCATAAATATTTTGATTTTCTTACAATTGCTTCAACTGTCTTAGTGTCTTCTCGTGGTTCTTCATCTATTAAACATTACAAGCATCAAGAATAAATTACTACTCCTATTGCTAAATACTCGTTATTATTGCCAGAGTGTATAATTTTTACCAGTGGAAGTGTAATCTTAATTCTAAACATCGGATCAAACAGTTATAATGTATAGTTATCACAAGGGTAATTGTAAACACATATATTGTATACTTATCACCATAGAAAATACAAGCCTAATACTAGATGTAGGCTTGAACAATTATATCGCTTGGGTTAATGGGTTTCTTTTCTGATGCTCATAATTGTATAGGTAATGGTAATCAGTTACACTGTATAGTTATCACCAGCTTTATAATAATCAGTTGTACTGTATAGTTATCATCAGAGTAATAATTATAAGTTGTACTGTATAGTTATCACCAGAGTAATAATAATAAGTTGTACTGTATAGTTATCACCAGGGTTATAATAATCAGTTGTGCTGTATAGTTATCACCAGGGTTATAATAATCAGTTGTGCTGTATAGTTATCACCAGAGTAATAATAATCAGTTATACTGTATA